CCAACAACACATTCCAAAAAAGTTGTACTATTTAAAAAAAAATATAGGGTTTAAATGATTTGCACATCATTGCATTTTGCACAGCCTCCCAACTTTTTGGGAGATGGGGTTGTAAAAACATCTACAAAAAAGTTAAATTACTATTATAATACTCATACAACTATCTCGAAATGAGAAATATTAGATATTTAGACTACATTTAAGATGATTTCACTTGGATATCAATTTTTGCAGTTGTTAAGAAAATAAGTTTAAACAAAACCAGATTCTTCCATAGGCTATATTTAGTGCTGTTATGGGCTGTTTACTTCATATACATACTGATGCCTGGTGCCATCTATCAGTACATTCAATTAGTCTATGTGAGCAACATAACGTTGCATTAAGAGAAAATTCACTTATTGTGATGGGGTCATAGGTGTGCAAGTATTGCACAATAGGCTTGAACGTAGCTCCACCAGTCAGAACCAGAACTATCTCTTTTACAGTCCTATGTTTATGGCTTTGATATACATTTATGTTTTATGAAGCATTCAAAGTAGAGCAGGCACAGCTAGCCTCCAGACACACATGCACACACTCATGTCTTGTATGTGGCTCAGAGACAGATGTTTGAGGACAGATGTCACTTATGGCTTCTGTAATTTGCTTGTTTTTTATGATTTGTGAAGACTGATACCATCTGTGTTAAAAGCTCAGTTGCTGCACTAATATCGTGACTTACGGTATGAAAAGGTTATGAAAAAAATGCATACTGGTCACCATTAACAATAACTGGTGCTGTTTGTACATCTCACCATTTGACCCTGCTGCATGTGTGGTAGATTTGAACTGTTATTTCAGGTGATGTTACGCTGTGTTATATTACACTTTGGAATCCTGGCGTAATTAGAATGTGATGACTGTGGCCTCATGGAATAATCATGGAATAATAAGTTGTCCAGCAGAGGGCTCTGGAGAGGCATGGCTTTGAGTTTAATGCGTCTCAAGATTGCAGCATCACACGATTAGTGTGGGTGTCTCTGGGTTATGCTATTTTTATATTATGCTGTGATCATGCAGTTGGTAATGTGACCACAGCAGTGTGAATGCTATAAGGCCTGAAGACTGAAAAAGTGCTATATTTGTGGTGACAATGGATTGGATGTAGGGCGGCCCTTTGGGTGATGAATTTTTTACTTTGTGATTAATCTGGGCCTTGTAAGTAATGACTAAAGTGTTTGCACAGTTGTCAAATGTTGTCATAAACTAGCGTTATAGGTTTAGAAGAGTGCACTTTGAATTGCTTATGACTTAAAGTAACAGTCAATGGGGCTGGAATTATAAGGTTCTATCTGGCATTTATATACAAATAGTTAATCATTTGGTGCTGATAACTGTTGCTGTGTTGAAATAAAAAAAAACAAGCATTATAGAGTCTGCATTTTAAAGAAGTAAAAGGTACCTTCTTGAAAATGGCATACTAAGTTGACATCATAAGCTTCTATCTGCATCAGCCAATCAGGATGGCTAATGAATGTGGCATAACCAAACAAAGGCTTTACCCTTGTGCCCAAGCTCAGCAATAAGCTGTTTACAGGGCTAGCTTAGCTATGAGGCCTAGTTAAATGAGTCCTAAGACTTTATAAACAATTTAGTAAGAAATCTTAGTAGCAAAAGGTAAACTGGAGGGGTAATAATACTGCCAACTGACCAACTCATTTAAAATATAGGCTTTTTTTAGTTAGAAGCTTTCATTTAGCTAGCAATTGCTAATGTTGGCTAAGTTTGGTAGTTTGGTCCGTAGATATAAATACATAGATGCTGCGCTGTCTGCTATTCTTAATGTAAAGTGATACATCTGCATGTCTGCCATGTTGGAGCGGTCAAGATCCGCTTGTAAAAATACACATATTGAGTTATGATGAGTGCTTATGATTAAATCGGCCATAATTTTCTTATTACTCAACTGATTTTCACCATTTTTTGTTATAATCAACAGACGTTTCTGCCTACTGCGGATTATTTAATTATTATTTAATGTCCAATTTACATGGTGCTATGTTTGTAAAGCACATTGATTACTAGCAGTTGGCTGTAAACTAACTGTCATAATTGAAATAAAGAAGCTGATAACAGCCATAAGAAGTGTCTGAGTGAAGTAAGACATACATTTAAGTAAATGTTTACAGGTAGTGATGGCATTCCCTGAGCAAAGAGACAGCAGATTAAATACATCAGTATGTTTACAATCTAGATTAAAAACGATAGTAACATGTACCTACATGTTAATGTTAAACGAGTTGTCATAAAAATCTGTTACTAATGCAAATATATATCAGATGTGGAGTGTAAGGAGTCCAACTGTAGAGCTCAATATAGTCTTAAGAGCCTGAAAGACAACAAAGTGCCAAGCAGATTTATTTATTTTAACTATTTGTTTACGTGTATGTTAAAATAAAATTGATTACATTGGTAGCTAGGTTGCACAGATTTCTGACATTTTGTTGGTTGCTTTCAATCTATTTCATAAATGAGAGTGTGCTGGTATAGCTAGCTGTCTGGAGCAGCAACAGAAAATTTACCTAGTCTGCACCTAAGACTGATAAGCTGGAGCTCTGGCAGAGCCCAAGATGGCATCTCCTCTCAGAACAGCTCTCTGGCCCACTCATGGGCCACATCCTTGGGTTTGTTCTGGCTCAGTATACGGCTGGGTCCTTGGCCCAGGTCACACACTGTAGAACTAGTGAGTAGAACTAAAAGATGTGTGAGTAGAACTAATGGATGTGGCCCAAATCTGAAAGAACTACATTGTTGGTCCACAACATTCACACCAGAATTGGCCCATAAATATAGACACAAGGCAAAACTGTATGAAGCTGTTCTGGTCCGCATGCCTAACATCTGCCCAGTAATCAACCAATACTTCCATAGGAAAGCCAGAGTCAGCCCAGAACTGTCTGCTATCTGGGAAATGGTTCTATCTGCGTTTGGTCCATTCCAGTGAAGTCTTTGACACTAAGTATCTCAAAACTGCGCTGAACGCAAACAGACCCTTATAATTCTAAGCCAACAAGTCATTAAAAATAGTCTTTTGTTTCTTTATCTGTTTGGAAAGACGCAATGTAATTATTATTTTTTTTTCATATGTCTTAGACTTAGTTCAATGTTTTTTTCTACCTAGACACTTCATTTTAATGCCATATATAATGTTTTGATTTTCTGTTTCTATTTTTATTTCTATTTTAAAAAGGTATAATTAGTCATAGGTACAATTATGTACTGTTCACATGTGAAAATGAACGCAGAGAAAATGTAAAACTCATTTAAGGTACAAAATTGGAGCTTAAAGGGTACTTTTCTTCCTTCAAGAGCACATTTACATTGTTTGTACATTAATGAACAGAAATATACTTTTTTCTCACAGTGCAGTCTCTTAAATTCAGTGGAACATAAGTAGGCCAAACTGAAAGTGATTCATCTCCAAAAACAGAGTCATGAAAGCTTTCCATGGGAATTTCTGTTGAAGACCCTTCCGGGGTCACGGCTGGGGATGCTGTGGGTCAGTTGCGGAACAGAGTCTTCACATTCTCAACTGCTCCTCTTCCTGCCCAGTGTGTGAGTTGAATATAGAGCAGTCAGCGTGGGTTCTGTCGTCAGTGCACAGCATGAGGTCTGCAGGGACTGAGATTGACTTTTCTTACTTATTTCGCATGCTGTCTTGCTGTGTGTGTAAGGGCTGTTTTGCCTGGCTGTGGTTTTAGACAGAGACTGAAAGCTGACCGCGTCTGCTTTGACACCTGGACCCTCCATAGCATTCCTTTTCCTGTCTGGCGTCCCAGTCAGACCTGGAGTGTAGCCAGGCACACTTGGTCTCCATGGTGATAGGAGATTAGCTTCCAGGACCATGTGATTTGAGAGTTTTAAATAGAGAGAGTGTTGGACGATGTTTCTTTTTCTGACTATCGTTCATTTTCATGTAGATTACAGACAGTAGTGTGCAAATATTTTAGGAAATTCTTTTAGGAAACATTTATCTAGGCAATATGAACGCAGTAAAAAGTACCAGTCATTTTTTTGTTTTCAAAAACATAATATCCTGTGCGGCTTTGGTTCCTCTTGATGCAGCTCCAGCCATTAAATTGTTCAGTTCTGCCACACTAGTACACGTGATTTAACAAAACTGATTTGTCCTCACTGTTAAAGTTTTAAAGTTTAACATTCACTCCCCTGTCGAAACAGTCCAAATATGAAATCCAAGCTGCTGTTTTGAGTTAATTGAATTAATGATGCCACAAAAACTCATTTGCATATGTCTACCTGTTTAGCCTACAGCAGTTTTGATCTGCCCATTCATGCTGAAGTTATAAGGAGTGTTTCAGCCCAAGGTTTTGGAATGAGGCACGATACAGGGCAGCCAATCAGAACAAAGCTCATTTACATATCAATTTTAAAAACACAGCAACCAAAACAGCCGGCTTGATTCTAAGTGATAAAGAGAAGTTGTAAAATGGTCATGTAAAAATGAATGATCTTGTACATAATCTCATAGAAATATCATAAGCAGTAGTGAAAAAAATAAAATACAAGAAAAATGTAGAATATGGGCTCTTTTAATGAAGGATTGATTATGAGGTCATGGGTGGTAACGTCAAATACTGGGCTGCCTGAAAGAGTTAGGAAGTGATTAAGCAAACACACTGACAGACATAAAATCACAGTTTATTGTGTTGATTAGGTGTCCAAGCAAGGTACAAAAGACCTTTTACGTTATTTGTATTTGTAAGTCAGTGGGTTTCCAAGCAAATAAATTCTCATACCTGGCCTAAATAACTTTAAATGCATTTTTCTCAGGTGGCCTTTTTCACAATACTGTAGTTTTCTGTAGGAAGACCGCTACAGTGACCAGAAGAGGAGACCCTTTTTCTGATGCCTTTTCACTCTCATTAGTAATTGCTGTCATGTAAGCATGTGATATGAGGCTGATTATTCAGTTGATAAAGAAGCTGAGTGGGAAGGCTCTAAGTGGAGGGAGGGACACTGAGCTATAACAAAGAGAGGAAGAGAAGGAGGGAAAAGGGGGTGAGCTGTTGCATAGTGAGGAAAGGAAATACATACCATATCTAGTGGCGGAAAATAGCTCAGCTGGCGAGGGGTACTTGTACAGAGGAACACACACCCATACACACACAGGCAAGCAAACTTGATGGCAAAAAGCAGCCGCTGAGCAGAGAGGGACTGAGAGAAGGAGACAGACAGAAAGACAGAGAGAGTAGTGACAGAGGGAAAGACAGAGAGGACAGATGAGCAGCAGCTGCCATGCTGTGAGGACGGGTTTGCAGGGAGAGTGAGAGAGCAGTGCAGGACTAGCCGAGAAGCAGGGTCAGCACCAAGGCTGGACAGGAAGAGCAAGAGGACATCAAACTTTCTTTGTGGAAGGATGCAAATGCTACAAACTTTGGAATAAACTCTTAAACGAATGCTGAACTAATGGATTTTGGGCCTGTACCACTTTAGTGGAGCTGATGAGGATTGGAGAGTTCAGTGCTGATTGGCTGGGGTGTCTCACCTTGCCACACGGAGGCTGTGTGGAGGCAGGGCTTTAATGACATGGAACACTGTGTGGTCTGCTGGGGGGGCGGGGCCTTGGATGATCATTACTTTTACGCCCCTTGGCCGGCTATTTACCGGTGAGTAGAAACTCAGAATTGTATGAAGGAGCTCCAGTTTACGGAGTGGTGTGTGGTGCTTAATACTGATTTTTACTGGTTTGGCCCTGGTTGCAGTTTGTTTGTTGTCATAGTATCAGTAGACTCTGGGAGTGACCCAAACCTACTTGCTTTAGTCTGGCTGAATGTTTTACGTGGATGCATGGATGGATGAATACAGAGGGAGGCAGACATTATTAATACTGAAGGAAATGACAAAGTTACAGCAACAAAAATAGCTTAACAAACTAAATACATATATTAGGAAAAGCTATACAGTTTTCAGAATTTAAGAATAATAATTTTGCATGTGTATATGCTCTGTCCCAGATATGATAATGGGTAGAATAGTGCTACATTTAAGTGTAGTTTTCAATATGTTATTACAGATGTACTTGCCAGAGATTGCACTCATGAAAGAGTACTTATCAAGCTGAAGTATCCTCTAATCATTTCTTTTCAGAGGAACTACATACACATTTGCACAATTAGGTAATCATATTTAATACTTATCTGTAATTCGCAGGTCATGAGGTCATGAGTTTTTTTCTTTTTTCCTTTTTTCTAAAAAAATCTAAAGTACTGATGCATTTTATTTGTATCAAAACCTCCAACCAAATTCATAAAAATGAAACTGCCCATTGTACTAATTCATTTTTGTGTAAGGACCAGTACCACCCCTCAGTTACATTACATCCCACCAAGCAAATAAACTTATAATTTATTTGGTAAAGCATTCATCTGTAACTGTAAATTTTTACTTCAAGTTTAAATGTAGATGCTTTCTGAATTCACTGAAGTATATTTTTGGCCCTGTACTTCCAGTGTTAGTACACATGCACTACACAGTCTCAGAAAAAAGGTACCACCACAGCTCCCTGGTACCCCTCTTGTCACTGTGGTGGTCCCCTGAAGAGTACATCTTCAGTACCTTTAGTTATTCTACATCATTGTACCATATTCCATTGCACTTTCATTACATTACACACTTGGACCTAAGACCACTGTTGTGCCTTTGATAGTACATTTACATTGTTTGTATTTTAATGAACAAAAGCATGCTTGTACAGTATCTTTTTTTCTGACAGTGCACAGTACACATACACACAGTTTCTCTGCCCCTTTTCCACCCTGGCTGTGATTATATCTTATGAGTATTTCTTCTTCAGTTCACTTGAAGCACTTCCCAGAAACTGCTGAAGCAGCAGGTTGGCCAATCCAAAGCTAACAAAGTTTTCCATGAACATGTTGTTTCAGTTCTAAAACCTCTTTTGTACTGTTAAAATGAGTCCTATCAGCTTAACTCCTGATTGGGACTTATGCTTGGTGTTAGAATGTAAAAAATGTTTCCATTATTGTTTTTCAAAAATCTGACTTTGCTTCAGAAACTAGTGTAGAGACATTGGTTTTGATGCCTACAAGGCTGCACAGGTGAACCATATCGGATATGTTTTTTGGGATTTTTTCTCTCCTGCTATCTGAATCCCCCCTCTTGTACCAGTATCAGAGTGCTTCTTTTCACATCTGCTCAAGCAGCATCAAAGGGAAGCTGAACATGCTTGAAGGAGAGCAGTGAGCAGTCTTTGTGAGGTATCAGGCACCCACAACTGGACAGCACCAGTGGAGGGACATCAGAGAGGATCCATCCTTTACGTCTAGACAGCAGCAGGGCCAACTGGCCTCCTGACATTCAGACTCACAGTTCTTTTAGGCAACTCTGTTAACCAGTTGCACTTTTCATTGTCTTTTTAATGGCTTTATACTGGCACTCTGTAAACCTGCTTTAACTATGATCAACAGTAAGTGAGGGTGTGTGGGTGAGTGTGGAATGTGTTTGCTGAGGAGGTTTTGATTGAACAGGGCAAACGTAGGCCATTTGTTTTCTTACTGAAACCAAAGTACGCTGACTGGACTTCATTTTCCTCAGCTGAATCACAGCCCCGTTAGTGCTGTTACTGTTACTCAGTGAAAAATATTTACTCAGTGAGAAACAATCTACCATTCAAAAGCCTGGAATCACTGTTTTTCGAGAATATAACATCAATTTTGTTGCAAATACATAATAGTATAAAAGATAATATGATCCTGATGCTGTGCTACTAAGGAGGTTTTAAATCATATGTAGGAAGCTGAAAAAAAATAGTACTTTAGAAGTGGCAAGAAAGATGAAGGGAGCTGTGGATGGTTGTAAAATTAGCTGGAAGTTGTGTAGCATCAAGAGTGAAGTTAAATTAAATTAATATCCAGGATGGCCCATATTATAAAAGTGGTGATCAAATCTTGGGGCAGATAGCTTGACAAGAAATTACGGTAACACTTCCTTTGAGTTCTGTATTCTTATGACTTTTTAAATGCATTTATAACACATTATATGGCATATATGAACACCTTACAATACTGGGAATAAGCTTGTATCTTAAATAGTTATGATTACATGCATAACACTTTATAAAGCAAACGTATATGACTTCAGAAAGTCAGGTTCTATGACACATTATAATATCTGTTCAGTTACCAGTTAATTAAAAATAAATTACTTTAATGAATAGGCCTATTACATAAAGTACTCAAGTGCTTGTCACAGAGTAACTGCATGAAATTAAAACTCTATATAAGCAGTTATACAGGCTTATGCAAGGCATAATTAGGTAGTGTGCATGCCATATAACATCTTATAAATGCCTTTAAAACATTGTGAATACAGGATTCATAGGAAATGTTACCAAAATTACAATAAACCGATAATGAGAGTATATTATTTTTGTTATTCCCTCACATCTGAAATACACTTTGGTTTAAATGTATAACATTTTTTAACATTTCATTCTACTTTGTACAAGTAATTCAAGTGGTGGATTTCTGTCAGTGTTGTGTCTACACATTCTGGGTGTGCTAGAAGGAAGCTTTAAGGCTGAAACATGATGTACAATGAGTACACTGTCAGTCCGTCTATTCCAGATATTCCAGTTGTCTGTTAGCTGTTGGACAACAGGGGAGTGTCTGTTAATGCTTTTTCACAGAGTTCTCTCCACACCCTAGAAGCCATAGCAGAGAGTTTTTCTGCTCTGCATTTTTCTCCTCCTTTGTCCGCTTTGGAGAGAGGATCACAAAGCCATTGTTTCAAGAATACACAAACTGCCCTCCCCTTCTCCCCCCCCTTTACTCTCCTCCCCTGCCCTCGCGGAAGACCATACAGTCAGAAAAGAGGTGACTACAGGGGCCTGTGGAAGGAACTAAAGACGGATCGTAATGAGAGGTGCACTATTTCCATGGCTTTTGGTCCTCTTTGTGTTTTGATGGCTTCAGGTTGCATAAGTTAAAGGGCAGGAGCAGTTTGGGGAGGTAGTGGAGTGAGAACGCTGAGGCAAGATGGTGTTTTTAAGGTAAGGTGATCGTGTTTGATTTTTTCGTTCACTTTTCGTGTTTTATTTTTATCAGTCTGAAAGCTGAAAAGCAGTCATGAAGGATTTGTTATAAGAAATTACAGTTTGTGCAAACCTCTGCTTTGTTCTGTATTCTTTCGGCTTCTAACTTTAAGGTGGGATTTGATTTGTAAGTTGATATGGTCACTGCTACTGAGCAAACCTCATTAGCACACATTTGTCCATCTTTTTCTATGCTGATGAACTTTGTATGACCTGTACTTTTTGATGCATGTCATTTTAATGCTGTAGAGGCCCGTTAACATTACCGATAACTGTGAACTGAAGCAAGGATATGAGCTGTGTTCTGGCCAGTCTGTCAGCAGTCTGATAAGGAGGAAGGTAGTAGTCTTGTGGGAGTTTGTTTAGGTCTCAAACTGGTCATGATTACAGTACAAGCTACGAGTGTTGATGGTAGATGAAACAGCTGTTTTCTTAAGCTGTTGTCAGATGTTTCATTACATAACAAAGGTGAAGAAAAACAAAGCTGAAGGAAATCGTTCTATTAGGGATGCATGATGACATCGGAATAATAACAGGTATCAGCAGATAATTGTTTTTAAAAAATGATTGGCATCAGACAGGTGATTGGATTTGATTGGTATTTTAAACCAGTACAGAACGTCTCTAGGTGATCTTGGGCTACTTCACTTAATTGTCTGCATTTTATTAGTTTACTGGATTTGTAACCCCCTGACCCAGGAGGATAAGAAGGTTAGATGAATGAATTAATAATTGAAAGAATGAATGAATGACTGAATGAATTTGTAACTCCATACAAACAAAAGTTACATTCTCTGTAATGCTAACTTAGGTGGATTCAGTCCCAATTTCTACACTGTATAAACATGTAAATAATAATAATAATAATAATAATAATAATATAGCACTTTTAAGGAAAACCCAAAGATGCTTACAATAGTAATAAAACAGAGAGTAGATGTAGAAGACAAACAAGAGAACACAGTAGTATAGAAGTTTAGGATTAGGTTATTGGCACACTGTAGACTGTAGAGTAAGGATATTTGATTTAAATATGGAGAGAGGATAACACTGCCAGACTTGTGGGGGAAGTGAGTTCCGGAGAGGATTAGTGAATCTAGAAAATGCTCGATTGCCAAATCTGTGAAGGTTGGATGGAGGAATGGTTAGTAAGTCAGCTGAGGCTGAGCGGAGGGTACATTTGGGTTTATAGGGAAGGAGAAGATCAGGCAGATAAAAAGGAGCTAGCTTCGTAAGTGAGCAGACAAATTTTTAAATGAATGTGGTACTTTACAGCAAGCTTGAGGAGATCATGGAGAACAGTGTGATGTGCTTGTGAGATTGAGTATTAGTGAGAAGACGAGCAGCAGACTTCTGCACCATCTGAAGTTTGTGAAGGGAGGAAGAGCTAATGCATGCAAGGAGAGAATTACAGTAGTCCAAACGATAAAGAAAGCATATAGTTTAGTTTACTTTATTTAGTTTATTTCCAAAACATTCTGACTTGCAATCCAAAGATTTAATTTTGCAGAACATGCAAAATATACTACAAAACATTTACAATAATACATATCATAAAGAATGGACCAAAAGAAATGGCCCAAAATGACTTAAAAAATGAAAAAAAATTAAATTAAAAGTAAAGTAGGTTTTTTCCTTTTCCTGTAAAGTTATCATTTTGGAGATGAAAGGTTTTCTTCAGACAACAGCGATATGCACCATACTACAATGAATTAAACAGCCTGATGCCACATGGAATAGTGGATTTTCTTAGTTTATTGGTTCTTGTATGCACAAGCGACAGCTGGAAATTTTTCCACAGGAGATGACCCGTTCTCTCACCCTTATTGAGTGGAAGGAGGTCGTGTTAAGGATGATTGAGCTGTTGCATGTCTTTTATCAGTGTTGTGGTGGGCTGTACCTGCCGTTTCTGTAGATCTGGAAGATGCAGAGGAATCTTATGAAACCATGTCATGATCCTGATGGCTCTTTTCTGAACCCTGTCCATAGCTGCTTGCTGTTTTTCTGTGCAGCCCACCAGCAGCACAGTCCGATACTCTAGGCATGGCCTAATGAGGGTGTTACACACATCAACAAGATCTTCAACAGGAACCCCATTTCTTGCCAAGACAGTGAGGAAATTCAACCATTTAGACGCCTTTTTCACTGCCTCTTCAATATGAGAATCTCTACTGAGCTGATTCTCCAGATAAAAGCCCATATATTTTGGCAGGGACAGCCTGTCCACCAATGATTAAAGGAGGGAGTTGGGGAGGATCTTTAGAGAAACTCACTCTCATCTCAACTGACTTCTTGCCATTGAGGACCATTTTATATTGTGCAAGAGATACAGCAGCAGACTGAGAGAGGGGTGGTCGAATTTTGAAATGAACCCAGATTAAGGGGAGACTATTATATCACAGAGAGAGAGTTAGAAAGATAGTTTTATTGAGAGTAGGTTTAGAGCCGATGAGAAGGAGGTCAGTCTTATCACAGTTTAACATCAGAAGTTATCTCACATAAACAAGATTGTGACTGTCTGAGGGGTGGATTTTTAACAGCTTTGGTTTTAAGATAAATCTGGGTGTTATCAAAAACCACATAACAATGACAGTCCAGTTTTTGTATTATCTGTCTGGGGGAAGTATATTAGCATTGGCATCAGCATCAATACACTTTATAGCCATGTTTGTTATGCGTTATGAATTGGTAACATGATGCATTGTATGTAGTTCAAAACATGTAATACTGTCACTGCCAAAGAAGGTCCCAGCTTGCATAGTGCATTATGACAGTGCATAAACACATGCTGAGACATGCTCATTTTTTTATGAATTTGTGGATTATGCTTACCTGGAATGAAATAATAAGCTTATAGTCATTTTTAATGCTTTGTAATGTCTTTGCAAGCTGTGACAAAATGTATATGCTTGTCATTATATATACTTGATTATTACTAATTAGTAATATTAATGGATGTATAATATTATAATCTTTAATAATCTGATATAATACTGTCTCTCACCAGGTCACAAGCATGTGTTTTGTGTATTTGTACATGCATGTGTGTATGACCTCCCAAACACTTCCTGACAGCAGGTTTCACTTATCACAGTAAAAGACCTCTTAACCATCATTAAGCATCCATTAATATCAGGGCATCTGTGATGCGCAGTATGATTCTAAAATAGGCTTCAGAGTCCATTTACAAGGATTATTTTTACACACTCTCACACACACAGATACACGAATGCGCTTATACACAGTCTATAATGTCAGCTGAGGCATGTAAAATGCAGAAAATGTACATGTATTTCTCATTTTCTTTTATATTCCTCTTATATCATGTTATATTTCACTGAGACAAATATAAACAGTGCAGTATTGCATGGATTTTGTTTGAGCTGGACAGTCATCAGTGTTTCTGTTTCTGTGTCCACAGGGAGCGTCCATCACGGCCGGTCTCGCAACCTGACCCCGAGGTGGCAGAGCACTTGGCACTGGGCAGTACTGACACCATTGCCAATGGCAACAAGGCTGATTTGCAGGCTGCCAAGCGGCTGGCCAAACGCCTCTACAACCTGGATGGCTTCAGGAGGTCTGACGTTGCGCGGCACCTCAGCAAAAAGTGAGGCTCCCTCTACACCACATCTCTGTTATACATTCTGTTTATACCTTTATGATCAATTCTTAAGATCTTTCCACATGCTGATACGTTTTACTGTGCCCAGTGTGAACATGAACATGGCTCATCTACTCTGGGAGCAGATTTTAATGAGGTTTAATTTAAAGAGGCTTAAGCTTCTAAAAGTATCACTAGTGAAGCATTAATTTAATTTTAAGTTTCTGTGACCCTTATTAGGTTTGGTGTGGTAAATATGGTTTCTGGATGCACTGATTTCAAACACTCATTCGCTTCACTGGAAAAGAGCGCTAAATGCTGTTGATAAATGACAGGTGCACAAACATTTCACTTCATTATCTTCTGTTTTCCCATGCAGTAATGAGTTTAGCCAGATGGTGGCAGAAGAATATCTGAGTTACTTCAACTTCTCGGGGCTGACTGTGGATCAGGCACTGAGGTGAGAATACTCACATTCACCTGTTATCTATTTATAATCGCTAAATCACTAAAAACAGCAGCGGTCGTCGTACCTTTGTTTGTCTAGTAAAGTCAGAAATAACATTATTTACATTTGTTGTAAAGGGAAAAGTATGTAAAGTAGATTTTTGAACAAACTAAGTTAGCAGATGGGCGTCCTCTTACTTAACTTACAGAACAACACAGTACATGAATCTGATTTATTTCTGAGCCAAATGTAACTACATCATAATGAACTAACACACTGTAATGGCATCTTTTATGTGTTTCATTTTCTTTGTTTATACCTTTTTAATATATTATCCCAGAATGGCTGTTTGTATTTCCAAAAAAGGGCAAAAATATTAGTACATTGAGTTATTGACTCTTTAAGAGGTCCTGTTCTCAAGTAAAGTCAGTTCATCTCTGGATGTTCAAAGGGAAATGTGCTGTTTTAGGCCTGTGTAGTCATGTGAACGTGCTTGTATAGATATTGATCAGTGCCTCTTCTTCAGAGTCTTCCTGAGAGAGTTTGCGCTCATGGGAGAGACGCAGGAGAGGGAACGAGTGCTGTCCCATTTCTCCAGAAGGTACCTGCAGTGCAACCCCAACACTATTCCCAATGAAGGTAAGTCATATATTGTCTATGAGGTGTTTGTGTGTTTGTGATAAAGGGGAGGAGTGTGAGGGTGTTATTTCCCAATATTGAACAGGGTGACCAGATATTCCATAGTCCAGTATGGGACGGAACAGTCATGAGGATGATGGAGGTCATGCAAATATGTGCACATTTAATAAGTGATAAATAAATTAGTAAGAGTTTTTCTTCTACATCGTTCAGTGGCAAAGAAGAGATGGTCTACAAACCCTTAAGAGTATACAAAACCTTTAAGAATGCCTAGCCAATCTGGCAACTTCGGCTAAACTTGACTAAGCTTAGCTGGTTTGTAGTATCTTTCTGGCTCACCCTCCTGTCTGTCAAGATGACTGACTAGTTTTCATTTAGCTAATTAACTCCAATTACCCTATTGAGTTGATGTGATTATTGATCATGTGTTCGCACAATATATACACACAATGCAATACACAATATGTAGTATTCCAGCAAAAAAAGCCTTCTCATATGAAATGCAGGGCAGATGAACAATTTTTGAGAATAAAACAAAGCTGACATACAGGACTATCCCAGGATATACATCACATCTTGTCACCCTAAGATTGTGGATGCATTGAAAGGATCTGGCACCAGGTGGCACTCTTTCTCTGTTTGCATTTCAGACAGCGTCCACACTCTGACCTGTGCTCTGATGCTGCTGAACACAGACCTTCATGGCCATGTGAGTATGAGAGAAAGACAAAGTCAATAACAGGAACAGACATACTTTTACAATAAAATGCTGATCCACGCTGAAGAGTAGGCAAGTTGAAGATTGGTGTAGACTGTAGAACATGTCAGATTCACAGGTCAAAGTATTTTAAAGCTTCCCGTTCTGTCTGTGTCCTGTTCAGAATGTGGGGAAGAGGATGTCCTGTGCGCAGTTCATATGCAATCTGGAGGGGTTAAACGACAGCCAGGACTTCCCCAAAGACCTGCTCAAGGTGTGAAAATAAACAACTCACAAATACACAAATCCTCAGACACATGGGTCCTCTTCCTCTTTTCAGGATCTCTCTTCCTCAGCACAGTGATCTTTATTCGTCATTTTCATATTAGCAAAATTAGTCGCTTTGACAGATTCACCAAAATTTACAGTGCTTCCCGCATTAATGCTGTGCTTCATATGTTCACAATTAGAGTCACCACACGCACCTGTCGCAAGTAGCCCAAATGCATGCAAATTACGTGCAAGAACAGGCATGGGTAATATGTTTTAAATGCATTGCACGTAATTAATACTGCTCTGAAAGAGACATATGAGTAATGCAAGTAATGGAATACTGTGTAACGCATTCCCCCCAACACTGATAATAGCAATAGCTATGATGAATGTGGCCTTCAGACCAAGTCAGAAATATTCTCTTCCTGGCATAATGACTTACGCAGAAAGATTACCTGTGCAATGAGAGACATGCAGTAAGCAAGTGCTCACAAATATAATCTTTAAGTGCAACAACATAGCACAATATACACTGCAGTATGTGATGAATAGATGAAGCTTAGTAATAGATGAACTGTGTCATGTAGCTCTGACATGTAGCAGATGTCTAATGAGGCTGCATGTATAGTTGCTCTACTAGAAGCAGCAAGTTGAGTGAATGTGTGGCAGCAAATGAGAATGTGATTATACTTAGCATTCAAGTTTCTACAGGACAGTCAGTGAAAAAGCCATGCAAACTACTTGGATAGTAGACAGTAGATGCTTTTGGATGTGTTGCATGCTTTGGTCAGTGTGTTGTTGCCACAGTACAGCATTAGCCACGAAGACAGAGTGCCTTGGGGCTGGAGGAGTTTGGTCTTATTACTAAGCCTTCGGTGTGCCAGCGGTCAAGATATAACTGGTTAATATGTGATAGTTTAGATTATATATATTTTTGGTTACTTGTCTCCTGTATGTGCTTGACCTGTCCTCCTAGACCTCAGTGGACTTTTCATCCCTCAGGGGAGCACTAATGACAAGTACTGGACATCAAAAATGAGCTTTGTTGTGATAACCAGAGCCAGATTATTATTGTTCTCCATCCTCATTTTCTGTGTGTAGTTTTATTGTTGTTATTAATTACTCCAGTTAGGGTGGCATCAGTAGTTAGAGTTAGACGACTGGGGACTAGGAGAGTTGGATCTTATTGCAGGGGCTCAAGGTGCCAGCAATTAAGGTATAACTGATTAACACATTGTGGCTCAGTTAACCTTTAAGGTTATTTGTCTTCTATATGGCCTTCTTGACCTGTTCTACTACTGGGAACTGGGAACGCTGACCATAAGCACACACTCTTTTTTTGGAGGTTAAGAGCCAGATTGTTGTTTTTTTTTGGCATCACATCATATTCAGTCTGTCCTCATTTTCTCTTTTTGTTATTAATTTGTCCAGTTATTGTGGCATCATTAGCAAATTGAGGGTGGCAGGCTGTTACTGTGTTTAACAGTGTAGGTATGTGTTAAAAAAAAGGATGAATGTGATGATAAGTGAGGTGATGTAACTGTGCAGTCTGGTGATTCCCACTTCTTACGAGCTGCACAGGCTAATTATAAATGTGCTATCATAGTGTGATATGTAGGGAGAGAGCAGAGGCAGTTCAGTCAGTGAGGATTTGTTTAGCATGTCGCTTAACTTCCTGTGTTTCAGTGTGTTGGTGAAGAGGCTGTCTATTTTTACCAATGCTGCTGGATTACTGGTGCTCACTGAACAAGAAGAATAGCCGCATCATGACCGCACCTGAACCGCTCTGGTCATGCAGGGCTTTAAATCACTTAGAGACTTTTAAGTATTGTCCTCCCACTCCCCCTACTCTTTCTCTCATTTTTGTTCTCCTTCTGTCTGAGCCTCTCTCTCTCTTTCTCTCTCTCTCTCTCTCTCTCTCTCTCTCTATATATATATATATATATATCTTCCTTTTCTCTCTCTCTTTCTCAATCTCCTTTTTGCTTCTCTCTCTTCCCTCTCTCTTTCTTTCCTTCTTCTGTCTCTGTCTCTCTCTCACATTCGTATCTCTCTCTCTGAATCACTCTCTCTCTGTCTTTCTCCTCTCTCCCTCTCATTCTCCTTCTTGCTCTTTCCTCTTTCTGCTTCACTATGTCTGTGTTTCTCTCTCTGTTTCTTTCTCTCTCTCTTGCTCTGTCTCCCTCATTCTTTATATCTCTTCTCTGTCTCTCCCTTTCCTTCTGCTTCTCTCTCTCTTTCTTTATACTGCTTTCTGTAGGTCTTTCTTCATCTCTTCTCTTTCTATTTCTCTGTCTTTCTTTATGTCTCTTTCCGCATCTCTCTCTGGCTTTCTTTTTGTCTCTTTTTCTTTCTATCTCTCTCCCGCCCTCTCACTCTCTGTGCCTTGCTCTATTCCTCTGAACACCATCACCTTCCACCCCCTCATTCTCTTCCCCATTGCTTCTCTTTCTAACTTACTCTCTCCCTATATCTCTCTCTTTTTCTCCCTTGCTATCTACCCCCCCCACCCCCTCAGGCTCTTAAACTATCTGCCATCTTCCACATTGTTTCACCCTATAATCTGTAGAAATGCTCTCTGCTGAACTGTACTTAGGCCGTCTCTGTAATCCTCCGGAGTACGCTGCTTTCTCTCTCCTCCGCCACCCTGGCCTCCTTTTCCCTCCGCGCTCTTCCTTTCCACTCCTCTATTTGTGGGTGTGAGTGTGTGTGTGTGAAGGCGTGTGTGTGCGTGACCTGTTATTGTCCCCAGGCTGAGCCAGTGATGCAGTCGCGTCAGCTATGAGTGCTCACTGGAACGTCCCTCCGCTCAGCGAGACACCTCATCCCTTTATCTTACTACGCTCTCTCTATGCCTCTCTCTCTCTCTCTCTTCTTTCTCTCTGTTTCTCTCAGTATTTCTCTCTCTCTGTTTTTCTCTCTTTCTATTTCTGTCACTCCCTTTCACTCTGGAACTCACACATTTCTCTCTCTCTCTCTCTCTCACTCTCTTTCCCATTAAACATAACAAAACTACTAACCTTCAGAGCAGCTCCACAACCTTAGATGGTTTTGGCTCTGGTGCACAGATCTGTGTCATATGGCTGTTCTTTGAACTTTAAAAAGCTTCTTTACATGCATGCATGTAATTTACATCATGCTAAAAAAAAATGACAGCTTTGATCTCGTATAAAGTGTGACAAGATCAAATAATGCTTAATCTCTAGGCTGTAGGACTACTCAGATAATCTTTCTTGCTCTAAAGCTAAAGATTTATAGAAGTAGCTTAAATATATTTTGTTACAGATCCAATGTGCATAATATTCTTAATTATTCATCATTTCTTATTTATAAATTAAAAGTTTTTTAAGATTCACTGCAAATTCCTAGCTAAAATATATTGAGAGTGAAAAAAACAGATACTCTCTTCTGTCTAATTAGTTGCCAAGCTAGCTAGCTATTGATTGATTGCCCTGAACCTTTATCTATCTATCTATCTATCTATCTATCTATATATATATATATATATATATATATTTATATATATCCATATTGCCAAAAGTATTCGCTCGTTTGCCTTCAAACACATAAGAACTTGAGTGACATTCCATTCTTAATCCATAGGATTTAATATGATGTCAGCTCACCCTTTGCAGCTATAACAGCTTCAACTCTTCTGGGAAGGCTTTCCACAAGGTTTAGGAGTGTGTTTATGGGAATTTTTGACCATTCTTCCAGAAGCGCATTTGTGAGGTCAGACACTGATGTTGGACGAGAAGGCCTGGCTCACAGTCTCCGCTCTAATTCATCCCGAAGGTGTTCTATTGGGTTGAGGTCAGGACTCTGTGCAGGCCAGTCAAGTTCTTCCACACCAAACTCGCTCATCCATGTCTTTATGGGCCTTGCTTTGTGCACTGGTGCGCAGTCATGTTGGAACAGGAAGGGGCCATCCCCAAACTGTTCCCACAAAGTTGGGAACATGAAATTGTCCAAAATCTCTTGGTCTGCTGAAGCATTAACAGTTCCTTTCACTGGAGCTAAGGGGCCGAGCCCAACTCCTGAAAAACAACCCCACACCATAACCCCCCCTCCACCGAACTTTACACTTGGCACAATGCAGTCAGACAAGTACCGTTCTCCTGGCAACCGCCAAACCCAGACTCGTCCATCAGATTGCCAGACGGAGAAGTGCGATTTGTCACTCCAGAGAACACGTCTCCACTGCTCTAGAGTCCAGTGGCAGCACTTTACACCACTGCATTCGACGCTCTGCGCTGGTGATGTAAGGCTTGGATGCAGCTGCTCGGTCGTGGAAACCCATTCCATGAAGCGATTGACTCTGCAGAAAGTTGGCAACCTCTGCGCACTATGCGCCTCAGCATCCGCTGACCCTGCTCTGTCATTTTACGTGGCCTACCACTTCGTGGCCGAGTTGCTGTCGTTCCTAATCGCTTCCACTTTGTTATAATACCACTGACAGTTGACTGTGGAATATTTAGTAGCGAGGAAATTTCACGACTGGACTTGTTGCACAGGTGGCATCCTATCATGGTACCACGCTGGAATTCACTGAGCTCCTGAGAGCGACCCATTCTTTCACAAATGTTTGTAGAAGCAGTCTGCATGCCTGGGTGCTTGGTTTTATACACCTGTGGCCATGGAAGTTGGATGGGTGAGTGAATGGATGGATGGGTGAGGGAATACTTTTGGCAATATAGTGTATATATAATTGTTTGGGAGGTGGTCTTTGTTTAGTCGTCTGTTTTCCTTTTACATTTTGGTTTTAGGTTAGCAAAGGCAAAGCTATTGCAGAACTACCTGGATCTGAAGACACTCATGGTTTTGGTTCTTGGAGGACCCCTAACAGGACCTTTTAAGGAGAGATTCTACAAAGAACTTTTGAAAAGTTGTTTGAACTGTTAAGAGCTCCTGTAAAAAAACATTTTAAGAGTTCTGTGTGGAGCATTAATTGATTCTTCGTGTCAAAAAGCAAAACACATCCATTGAAAGGTTCTTTAGGGA